AACTTTTTATTTTTGCCCCCTTCCCCTGACCTCACAGATCTCACAATCCCCTCTGCAGATGTATATTTACTGAGATGCGATGCCTGTGACCTTCCATGATAGTTGACATCAACCCGTGCCACAAGTCCCAGCTTTCTTATCCACGCCTGTGCAGTAGTGTCCCATCACAGCACAGCCCGAAGCATTAAGGCCCTTGACAGTGTCCCCCAGACAGTCTCATGCTCAGTACATAATTATGCAGCACCCTGCTGCACTGGCCTCTACCATGATTTCTGGATGGAGCCCTCCTGTCTCCCAGGCAGGGACCTCCTCTGCTGCACAATCAACATGTGCTGGTCTACCTCAAAACATGGTCTCAAGGTTGGAGGCTTCATCTCACCCTAGTCTCTCCAAAGCCTACAGGTTCCAGGACTTTAACCAGGGTTTATAAATGCTGGAGAAAACTGAATAGCCAGTTTTCTCCCTCTGCAACATACCTCCTGGAGCCTCTTAACCTGAATGGGTGAGAACCTTGGGTTTTCCCAGGGTTAAATAAAAACAGGATTTATATAGCACCAACAGTTTGCACTGCACTTTACAGTATAAGGACATTAAAGTTGCACTACAATTCAAGACAAGATGGTAAGGAGGGCCCTGCCCGTGATAGCTTACAATCTAAAGGGAGGAGCAGGTGATACAAAAGCTGTGTGGGGATGAATTGTTTGAGAAAGTTATAGTTCAGTTATTAGGTAGAAGTGGGATAAGTTTCCTTGAAGGTGAGTTTTTAGGGATTGCCTAAAGGCAAACGGAGAAAGAGATAGCCAGACTGGATGAGGTAGGGCATTCTGGAGGATGGGAGAGACTGGTGGCTAGCTTGGGAGGAGTTGAAAAGGGAGCTAGAGAGCAGGAGATCTTGGGAGGAGCAGAGGGGACGGGTAGGGTGATACTTTGAGACATGGTTGGAGATATAGCCAGGGGCAGAATTGTGGATGAGTTATTCTTTGGGTGTTTGGAAGCCAGTGGAGGGATTTACAGAGGGGGCTTTCTAGACACTTAGAGGTTGGTTAGGTGGATGAGCCTGACAGCAGCATTCATGGTAGACTGGAGGGGCATAGCCTGCGTACAGGCAGGCCAATGAGGAGGGATTTGCAATATTCAAGACAAGAGATAACAAGTGAGTGTATTAGTAGCTTTGTGGTTTCATTGGTTAGGAAGGAGTGTATTTATGTGTAATTATGTGTAAATTATGTTATGAAAGTGAAGGCGGCAGGATTTAGATAGTGATTGGATGTGAGGCTAAAAGGTGGCGTCAGAGCCCAGGATTATACCCAGCACCTTGGCATGGGGGCAGGGAAGGATGGTAGTGCTATCAATCTCAATGAAAAATTGGGGGGAAGGTGGACTGGGGGAAGGAAATATCATGAACTTAGTTTTAAAAGAATGAGTTTGACATCCACACTGATAAGTCAGCTTGTAAATTAGTGATGCGCAAGAACACTGAAGGGGTGAGCTGTTTAGTGAAGATATATATTTGAGTGTCATCAGCATAGAGATGGTATTGGAAGCTGTGTGAGGTTAACAACTGACCAAGGGAGGAGGTGTAGATAGAGAAAAGAAGGGGTCCGGGGACAGAGCCTTGGGAGACCCCTATGAAAAAAGGAAGATAGGAATATAAGAACCGGAGAGATGGAGACCAGTTTAAGGAAATATGAGAAGGGGAAGAAGGGAAAAGGAATGGCAGGGAGGTATAGGAAAAAAATATCAGAAGGAGAGGGATGAAAGTGAGACATATGAGAGAAAGGTAAGGATGGATGGAAATAAGAAAAGATATAGGACAGTGGTTCTCAACCTTTCTAGGGCCGGGACCCCTTGGTAACATTTGCCAAGTTGTGGTGACCCCCAACGGTAAAATTTAGGGTTGACGCGGCTGCTGCAGTGACATCTGGCGGCGTGGTGGGAGAACTGACACTGCTGCGCTATGAGAGGGCTGAGGAGGACTCTCACCGAGCACAGCAGAAATCACACAGCGACCCACAAGTTGAGAACCACTGTTGTAACAGCTAAAATGGCAAACCATATAACACTAATAGCTATCCAATAGTGGGAGACTCCCGGCGACCCCTGGCAAATTGTCATTCGACCCCCGAAGGGTTCCCGACCCACAGGTTGAGAACTGCTGATATAGGAAGAGAAAAGAGGGAAAGCAGAAAGGGAAAGTATTGAGAGTAATGAGAAGGAGGGAAATGTAATAGGAGTAAAGCGAGGTAAAGGAGGGTAGCAGGAAAAACATGAGAGTGGGAACATAGTAAGGGAAAGGGAAGGAAATAAAAATAGAAAAGGAAAAGTTGGAAGGTGGTACAGAAAGAAGAAAGAATGTGAGACAAGAAGGAATTAAAGCTGGGAGTTTGAAGAAGGAAGGAACAGTAAGAAGTGACTGAGTAAGAGGAAGGAAAAAAAGGTTTTGGAGTAGGGATGAGGTTCAGGTTCACCACTACAATGGGTTGGTAGTCAGTCCTGAGGGTTCGAGATTCGCAGTCCCTGTAAATCTATGTGTAGATTCACCCGGGGGGATTGTATAAAACCATAATGTACCGCATGGCCTTTGAACTATGGTCAGCAGGCTTACAAGGACCAATAAGGGGGCTTTTAGTTAAAGTGACATTAAACCCTCAGATTTTTTAACATAAACCAATACTGTAACGTGTGCCTTACTGTAATCCATGGTAGTTTCCCTTCTCTTTGCTGCTCTTCCTTTTAAATCCTCATGTCTTCTCATGCTGGGCAGAACTTCTGTTTTGCAGCAGACTGCCTTGTCTCTGGAATGGATACATGGTGTCTGTGTGCAGAATAAATGTTTTATCATTTAATATAGGGGAAACTGTTTTTTTTTAAAAAAAATCGGTAATTTTTCCTTAATATAGTAAAAAATAAAAACCCCAGTGGTGAATAAATACCACCAAAAGAAAGCTCTATCTGTCCCCAAAAAAGGGTATAAAATTCATTTCAGTACAGCGTTGCATGACGGAATAAATGTCAGTCAAAGTACCGCAGCGCTGAATACTGAAAAATGGCCTGGATGGGAAGGGGGTTTAACACCGCGGATGTCAATTGGTTAAGTTAGCCCCGTCTCTATAAAGGGCAGGCATAAAGCAGACACAGAGTCAGTGAATAGGAAGCTGTGGCAGGGTAAGCTAACAAATTGCATTGGGAGAGATTAGGGTCAGTTGGGAAACTGTATTTAATTCTGAATGCTAGTTCTTTGTGAAGCTTTCTTCTCTGCCTTTTTTTGTTCCTATTTTTCTGAGCTTTTTCCATCTTATTTTGGACTGGGCAGAGTAGCGTTACTAATGGTCAACTTGAACATGTACTGCAGTATATGCTAACCAAAAATCCATGTATTTAGGTATAGGAGCTGTGTAGGGCTGTCCCAGGAAGTGAAGTGATTTCTATTAATGCAAGAGTTCTTCCTACTGCTAGCAAACACGAAACGAATATAGAATGGTTTTGCAGGTCAATGTGTGATAGAGTTCACAAGATAATATTCAGCTCCCTCCACTGGTCAGATAGAATATTCAAGGAACAGCACCTTCCTGGAGGTGGATGAAGATGCATAGTGAAGCCTCTGGAATTATATGAAATAAATTTAATTTAATTAAACCATCCTGACATCTGTTATGCAGGTTCTACATGTATGCTACACGTATTGCTTTCAGAAATGTCAGGTTTGTGTACCAGGCAACCTTTAAGTGCATTATGTGCCAAGATTTTTGCATATAGTTGACAGAGGTAGGGTACGTCAAGCTGGGACTGCAAATCAAGAGTCGCTGATTTTAATGCCAAGATTGCTAGAAGTGTGTGTGGGTGTATGACAGAGTTCAGAGGCTTATTTTGGAATATACCCAGAATACGTACTTTTCCCATTTTATATCTATGAAACTCATTTGAGCCAATGCTACCAGTTTATTCTTTCCTTTAGCTATTTTTCAGTACAGTAAGAAGTTTGTACAAAGATGAAAGCAAATTAATTTGTAGAAAAATAAGTAGAGCAAAGGATTCCCAAAACAACCCCTTTGATTTAAATCGTTTTTTCTTTTTTACCAGACTAGAAAATGAAAGCTTGATGATTGTAGCAATGCTATTTTATTTTTCATATGTAGCACCCTGCTAAAAGGAGTGCTAGATTATATCTATATTCTATGTTCAGTTCGATTATGACAAAGCAATCTGTGAAGCGGTGTCTGCCTGTTGCTGGGTGTGGTACCACACAGAGCAGAACAGCCAATAAGGATTGCTATGGGCATTTATGTCTCCCAGCCAATCACTGTAGGACAGTAGCAGTGATGCATGCTGGGAGAGGAGATAAAAGCTCAGGGTGGCTGATGTAACAGTCTCTTCCCTCCCCCAGGGGCCTTCCTGGGGGCAGGATGCCTGCTGCTGAAGAGACAGAATGGGCTAGGCCTAGGCCTGGGGCCTAGGCCTGGACACTGAGGCCTGAGCCTGGAGGCCCAGTGGTCAGCCACTCATGTTGGAGTTGAATCTGAACAAGACCCTTGACAGTACTGCTTGCTAGAAGTTCTCCACACAGATTGCCGGTACGGCTTAAAGGTCCAAGTCTGTGTTGGCAGCAGTTACTATGCTCTATTTCAAGTGCTAAGAGTCTACCTCATCCTGGATGTGCCTGACCCTCTCCCTCTCTCCCTGGAGTTTCAGAAATAAAAGAGAATCATCTTGGAGCTATTGCCTGGACTTCAATCTGTCGGTAACCACTGGAAGGGGTAAGTGCTTTTGGGGCAGCCATGTGTTTTAATAATCCCTAGACAGGCTATGGAAGACCTGATCATCCAGTGGCTCCTTCGGGGGTGAGCGCTACACATATAACTACTTTTTTGAAAGAACGATGCAGTTGACCACATGAGATACATTTAATCCTTTTATTGATTAAAAGAATGTTGCTCTACATGGGGTAGATTTGTCCATGGATAGGAGGTACGGTCAGAAGCTTATTTAGGAGTGCCAGAATCTTAACAGCAGTGAAACGAGCAGGCAGAAAGTAGCTCTGTAAACAGAAAAATACAGGTAAGAAGGAATCATTCTCACTTTGCAAACATGAGCATACGCGTTCAAGAGCATTGATACTCTCTATCAGGGTAGTGACATGGTAAAAGAACTATCCCCTCTATGGAATGCATCTCAGAGATGGCTACTTTACAACACACACACAGCGACCATGGGGAACAAAAGTAGCCACCCTCCAGAAGGAAGGACAGTGTCAACATGACTTCAGAGATGATTTGAGGATCTACAACTAAGTGATACACAGATAAGATGCAGGTGTGTGTATGCGTCTTCAAGGAATTCTGCCTTATTTATAACAATTAAAACTGGAGAAAACAAAATGAGCACAAAAGTGCAGTTCCTTATACAACCAGCCGCACAAGAACCGGTATCCATAAAAGTCCAACTTTATTGTAATAATTTCCAGATAAAGATCAAACGTAGTAAAGCAAACACCTCACTAAGGTATCTCGCCCACGCCGGTGCTGGGAGAAATACCATGGTGAGGGGTTTGCTTTACTCAATTTGATCTTTATCTGGAAATTATTACAATAAAGTTGGACTTTTATGGATACCGGTTCTTGTGCGGCTGATTGCATAAGGAATAATTAAAAGAGTGGGAGCACACCATAGCCAGCACCCGGCAGACATATCAACCGACAGTCAGAGGTGAAATTGGAGCGGTGAGTTTCTGGTGCTTCTTTGGACACAAAAGTGCAGTTGATACCTTAGGGAACCAATTCAAAGTTTTTGTCATTTTGCCATTATGTGAACAGTGAATCATTATTGGTTACTGTTGACAACAGCCTAATGTTTTACTAATTCTCCTGTCCCTAATTTTCATTCATCATCTCCAGTGGTTCTCAACGAGGACATCTCTACCTAGAGGTCTTTTCACAAAAGGGTGAAGAGTTTGGAGAAGGCAGGAGAAGTGAACAATCTAGGACATAATAGCTGAACTGGAAAGTGAGCTGAGTTGGAGAATTTTTCCAAATCAGCTACTGTGTCCTAGATTGTTCACTTCTCCTGCCTTCTCCAAACCCTTCACCCTTTTGTGAATAGACCTCTAGATAGTCTCTTCACCATAATAGATTTCACCACCAGATGGTGTTGCAGGAAAAAAAAAAATCAGGGTTGTGATCCTGGTAAAACTATCACTGTTTTCCCTGAACTATTAATAACTTTCAAGTACAACTAAACACTCAGCAAAACACGCTTTAACTAGCAATAACTTCCAGGTTTCCTACAAACATGTAGGAAAAACACTTCTAAATACTTTTAAGTATTTTCCAGTATATTTAACAAGAAAATATAAACAAGGTGAATGGGATTACATAACTTTGTTTATAAAAGACATAGAAAGAAGGCAGTACCAATACCTGATGTAGTAGAACATTTATTTAGTGTGGACAAAGCTGAGTAGTATGACTTCCCCAGGAAATCCTCTATTGTGGTTTTCTGATCAACCTCAAGTAAGCATTGGGTGGAGTCTTTAAAGAGAAGGTCCTTTCCATCCTTGGAGCCAAACAACTGAAAATTCTGTCTCTGACTTCCATTCCGCCCAAACAGAGCCTAAAAAATGTGCAAATAAATCTTTAGTGAAGCACATATTTTATTTAGACAGAACAAAAGCAATGTCATTCTGGATTAACTGTATTGGAAATATTTCTATTCCCGAATTAAGCAGTGACATTTTTGAAGTGTTATTAAAATATTGGGCCTACATCAGGCAGCCTGAAGAGCTACACTGAGGGAATCCTGTTTTGAGAAAACTATGGATGTCATTAAATGGTATGACCACCCAAAACTTTGTTGAAACAATGCTGCAGAGTTAGTTTTATCCCACCACATGAAACTTCTCTCTTTAAAATTGAACTTCAGTCAAACAGCTAGGTACACACACACATCGAAACTGAAATGTAAAAATTTGTCAGGCCCAAACTGAAATTGACTTTTTTTTGCCCAGTCGTTTAAAAATGTTTTAATTATTTTTAACTTATTTTATTTTGTTTTATTGTTAGGGGCTTGGAGAAATATTAGGGGTCCCTAATATTTTCAGACCCCTGATATTTCCCTTTTAGGCCCCATTCACACCTGACCGTTTTGTAGCGCATCCTACGCTCGATAAACGCTCTACAAAACGGTCAAAAAAATAAATAGCATTGTAGTCAATGGTATCGTTCCCACCTGTCCGTATTTCCGCCCGTCCCGAACGCACTACAAAACGGCCCACGCATGAAAAGGTCCCGGAGCGTTTTTGCTGCGTATTGGTCCGTTTTGTAGGGCGTTTTCCATTTGGATACTGCCAAGTAGCCTTTGGAATCGCGCGACGGTCGCGCGACTTTTTTACCGCGAATCGCGGTAAAAAAACCGCGTGACGGTCGCGCGACAGACGCGCATATTACAATACGCATAGGTGTGAATGGGGCCTTAAAATAGAAAAAGAGATTGAGGACACAGAGTCCTAAATCTTTTTCTGCAGCACTGTTATGAAAGAACAGGAAGCCTCTATACTGAGTGCTCCCGTCTATTCGTAAGCGTTCATTCACAACAGGGGATGGAGTAAGGTTATTTACAAACACTCAGCGATCAGTACAGATCGCTCAGACTTTGTACTATGCTCTCTATCCTGACTGCTCCACCTGTTAAAGCTCAGCCTCCTGTGACAGCTGTCTTCTCCCCTTACTGCCCTGTTCGGCCTCCTGACAGCTTCTCTCCTCCCCGCTGGGCGTCGGCAATTGGATCAGCTCTGTGTGCCCTCCGATCCCTGCTGCCTCTGCCGACACAGGCGGGGAAGAGCAGCGGGGATCAAGGGGGACACAGACCGGAGCTCAGTGGGGAGGAGAGAAGCTAGGGATGCACTGCATTTTCAGCTGCATTTTCGTCTGTTTTGGTCTTATCGGCATTTTGCCCATAGTACCATTTTCAGCCAAAATGTGTAGAGATGCTGCAAATATGTTAACTGACATGCAATGTATTTGGAATAAAAATGTATAGAGATGCACCGATACCGATACTAGTATCGGTGCCAATACCGAGTATGTGGGCGAGTACTCATACTCGCCCAAATGCTCCGATACTTATTCCGATACCGGAACTACTGGAACAGTGCAGCGAGAGGAACATGGAGCCAGTTTCCTGGCCAATCAGGAAGCCGGGCCGTGGGTAATGACTTGCGGCTCGGCTTCCTGATTGCCCAGGAAGCCGGCTCCATGCTGTTTGGCCAGCTCGATGCTGATTGGCTGGGAAGTCGGCATCCTTGCCAATTAACATTAAGTTGGCCAAACAGCATGGAGCCGGCTTCCAGGCCAATCAGAAAGATGGGCAGTGGGTAATGACCCACCTCCCGGCTTCCTGATTGGCAGGAAAGCCGGCTCCATGTTGATTGGCTGGGATGCTGGCTTCCCGGCCAATCAGTATGGAGCCGGCCTCCTGGGCAATCAAGAAGCGAGGCCATGGGTAATGATACGCTTCCCGGCTTCTTTGTTGCCCATGAGGCCGGCTCCATGTTACCGGAAGTATCGGTACTCGTTATCGGCGAGTCCTGAAATATAAATATCGGTACTCTTACTGGATACTCAAAAACCAGTATCGGTGCATCCCTAATAGAGTTGCAATGTGTTAGATGAGATGAAATGTATAGAGATGCAATGTGTTAGGAATTGTATAGGTGACACATAGGGATGAGCGGCCCCTCCTCAGGCACTTCCAATGGTGCTGCATGTGGCAGTAAGCCTTTCTTTTGCTGATATCACAGTAGTATTCAACCCTCCTATATTTTTAACATGAAAGTATTATCTCCTCAGATTAGCTCTGGCTAAACCCAGAGCTAATGCATTTTATGGCAATTCCTAGTGGCACTGAGTGGGCTAATGTGGACTTGAAATATGTGCACCAACTATATTCACAGGTTTCCTTTAAATCATTTTCTGCACTGCCTAATACTTGGCACTTTCAATATATTCAGCTATGACATGCTGCGGAGACCCAATTTGAATAGAGTGATGTAATCTTTCAGCACTCTTCATTGGACTACTACTCATTTGAAATTGATCACCCTTTTATGAGAAACATCTTCTAGGTCAGGGGTAGGCAACATTGTCTCTCCAGCTGTTCTGAAACAACAAATCCCATAAGGTATTACAAGCCACAGGCATGACTCCCAGAGGCAGAAGGATGATGGGATTTGTAGTTTCAGCACAGCTGGAGAGCCAAGGTTGCCTACCCCTGCTCTAGGTTATCCCGAACTCAGGAACAATGGAACAGGGATAGGAGTGAGCAGGGTTGGAGTGAATTGTAGCACTGTTATAGCCGCAAAAGATAAACTCACTCAATTACAATTTTTTATAGAGTTTATTTGACCCCTTTTAGACTGTTTGAAATGGGCAAGTGGGACACCTCTCCTTGTCACAAATGTCCGGGAGTAAAAGGATTAGGATCCAGGATTAGACACTTCTGGTCCCAAATGACCAACTGTACTTTCCCCAATATATGTAGTCCAAAGTTGTCCAGGAAAACTATAGTCTTTAAAGGAGAACTATGAGGTGAGTGCTTTTCACTCATCCTCATAGTTAACTTCTAGCCGACCTGAGACAATGAAACTGTAGATCGGGAAGTGAGCGAATACATACCGGCAGAGAGCTGTGACAGGGGAGGGACTGTATTCCCCCCTCCCCGCTCCGATCTGCCAGCGCTGACTGGCGGAACGGATGGTGGAGGGGGCAGGTACAGCTGGCTCTGCCTCTATATAGGCAGAGCCAGCTATCACTCACGCAGCTGGGCGGATTCAGACATAATTGTCGGGATCCGTTTCAGCTGCGGCGTCTCAGTATACCGCGAGCTGCAGCTCGCGGTATACTGAGCTTAGGGTGACGGGAGGATGCTAACTTGTGTCCTCCCTTTACACCAAGGAGAACTATGGGGGAAAGCACTAACCCCAAAGTTGAACTTGACATATATCAGATACATAGATACATGTACAATGTGGTCTATAAGGTCTATTACATACCATCTTTGTCAGGGATTGCAAATATTGCTAATAGCGACAACAAAATGATCCTAAGAGGTATTCAGCCCATTACAAGGCTGCAGTAGGATAGACCACAACAATATAAAACACAAGGATACATGGAGGGGAGGGAAACGAACCCTTAGACTTAAGACAGGACAAGACAAGACAAGTCAGGACATCGAAGTGACCAGGAGTGGGCGAGTAAGGGGGATAGTTCAGGGGGACCTAATGTTGGGAAGTAAGGGCCAGTTCACAATCAGTCGTATAAAGAGCAGGTGAAAGACATAAGTCCATCAGCAGTACTAAAGATCTTACATATTGACAGTGACCAATAGCTTTTTAAAAATGTCAGAATCCTGGAAGTAGATCCAGGAACCCCACACCTGCCTAAAAGATTCACAGCGGTCAGTATCCACAGCAACCATTTCCTCCATACGCATAATATAATTTAGGCTATTCAACCATGCGATCACAGGGGGGGGGCAGGGTGGACTTTCAATGTCCCCCTATGACCTGTCTGGCCGCGAAGAGGAAAAACCTCAATGCAGATTTCTTGGCTTTCGAAAAATTTAGTTAGGGAACAGGGATAAGAGAGTCAGAGAAGGAGTATTGATCGTGGTCAAAGAGTGTGCTTTATCATATATGGCTAAGACATTGTCCCAAAAGCCCTTTAACAAAGGGCAAGACCACCACACATGTATGTATCTACCATCAGCTGATTGACATCTCCAATACGTCTGCGCCACAGAAGGGAACATACGATGGAGGCGTACTGCAGTGAAGTACCATCTCGAGAGCAGGGGGGCGGACGTGCAGGGCAGGTGAGCGTAGGGGGGTGTATGTCTGCGGAAGGACGAGGGCTGCGTACTAATCACTAGACATGTGCACTGCCAAAAAATTTGTTTCGTTTCGTTTCGTTTTAAATTCGGATTTGTGTTATTTCGTTTTTTCGGGATTCAGGTGTGAAAGTCAATTCGGATTCGGAATTCGGATTCGGACGAAATTCGGTAGCGGTAGTTCGAACGTTCGTTTCGTTTTCTGTTCTTATTTGTTTCGTTCGTTCGTTTGCAGCAAAGTGACATTTGAGGGGGAAAAAATATTTTTCTCCTTCTCTAATGTCACTTTGCTCCAACGAACGAAACGAATAAGAAACGAAACGAAACGAACCAAAAACGAAACGAACGTTCGAACTACCGCTACCGAATTTCGGAAATGGAAATTCGGATTCGTTTGCATTCGTTATGTCTGTAATTCGGAATTCGGATACATCCAAATGTCCGATTTTCTGAAAATTCGTCCGAATTTCGATTCGGAACGAAACGAATCGCACATGTCTACTAATCACACTAATCACACTAATCACACTCAATGTGCACGTAGCACCTGTCCTTCCCGGGAGCTACTCGATACGGCCCTGCACGCAGCACGGAGCTGTACGTGCCGGCCGATTAAAGTGTGAATGAGGCCTTAGAGATAATGATTGTCAGTTACCTGTTGTCTTGTAACAATTCTCAAAACACTGCTCCTTTTATCTGGCCGAGAAACAACAGCATGTGCTGGTACCTCTGCCAGGTTGCAAGTCTTGTAGTTGGTGATTGAAGTGCGAGAACCATCAGAACATAGCAGCTCAAAATCATTAGGCTTAAGCTTTTTTGCCCAGTCTGCAGGATTCCTGCCTGAAAGAACAAGAATTACAATATTGTTATGAGGTGATAAGAGGGTATGGGGTAAGGTACACAGACCGTGTTCAAATGGAACCTATCACACTCCTGACCGAACAGAAACCTTTTAGAGTCGGGTGGCTGCCAAAAGTGACTGCGGATGCGTCCGTAGATCAATAGAAATTGTAGAAAAGGTCACTCACACTCCAGCTTAAATTTCAGTCAATTTTTATTGACCTCTCATAGGGGTCAATTCACAAAGAGAAACGTTATTGGTTTCCTTCAGTTGTTAAATTACCGCCCCTTATTTAACGTTAGCAAACATGGTATTCACGAAAGCTATAATCGTTATTCAACATGGTCGTTATGGTTTTCTACTGACTCGTTATCCAGTCGTTATGCTAATGTTTTAAACGTAATAATAACGTCTATGATCGTAAAATAACGCTTGAGAGATGCATTCTGGGAGCAGAAGGGGAGGAGAACAGTGCTTCTTACAGAGAAATGAATCATGGGAGATGTTAAACGGAATTTAGCTATCACCTGGGTTTCAGAAAAGTAATCCAAAATAGTGCGAGAACGGAATACACGTTTATAAATCAGAACAACATACTGATGTGTTCTTCTTCGGCTCTGGATAGTTTTAAGTTCAAATAGAGCACACCCAAATGGTTCCATCTTGCCCCAAACTACCAAACACTTTCACTGCAAAACTGAAGAACTGAATTTTTGTCGCCAAAAGCTTCCTCTAACAAAGAAATACCGCCAGGGAAATGTCATAACGACACCCTGAGGGTGGTGCTTATGTAACGATTGCTTAACGATCGATATCTGGCAAAAAAATCTTTGTGAATTGCACTTCTGTACATATTTAACGATTTGACTTGTTAAAACAACGATCGAAACGTTTAATAACGATCCACACCTTAAAATATCGGTTCCGTGTAGTGAGACGTTATTTGATGATTTTTCAAAGCGTTAAATCGTTTGGTGAATTGAACTAGCTTCAATATCGTGCGACATCGTTAAAATAACGAGCGGTATCTGGAAAAAAAGCTTTGTGAATTGACCCCATAGTGTCACACTGTAAAGCGACGTTTCGGAACCACATGGTCTCACTTGTTGTTTGCCTGAGGACCGGACCATGTGGTTCCGAAACGTCGCTTTACAGTGTGACTCTATGAGAGGTCAATAAAAATTGACTGAAATTTAAGCTGGAGTGTGAGTGACCTTTTCTACATTTTCTAAGGTACACAGACAGACCCAGGAAAATAAAATGACAGCCATTACTGTAAACAGAAGATCAGCAACACAACTTTGCAGCTGTCTACAGTTCTTAAAAGGTAACGCCATACATACTTATATTGCGGGGGGGAAATTAATACGGGAGGTAGCTCCACCCACTTCCTCTCTTATGACCATGTTTAACATGAGCAGGGACAGTCAGGGAAATCATGTGTAAGATGTAGGTGAAGTTTCAAAGAAACACCTGGGAAAAATGAAGCCTGCTGGCCAGCGGGTGCTGATGGCTGATCCACTGATATAATATGTATTAGATATGATGGGTGTATGTTCTGAGTTTATTGAGGGGTATGTAGTGCTGTGAGGTGAGGGGTTTTTTGTTGTATGATAGGGATTAATAAAGTTCACCAGCAGTGTATGCAGTTGTTTTTACCTCTTCAGAACATTACATCAGAGAGCCCTCTTGGGCTGTACACATATCAGTGGTTTAGCTGTGTTGTAGGTATGGCATGTTTGAAAACATCCTGTGTGCATTATCTTTGTTGATCCTACATAGGGATGAACGATAATACATATAAAATGCACCTAAAATGTACAATGGACCAGAAATGCATAGGTATGAACAGATCATTAGATGGAAAAATATTACCTGTGCATGCCCATTATCTGCTGCCATTTTGCATAGGAGTTAATGTAAGTGACATAATAGCATAGATGGGCATTGTGTCAGCTACTATCTCTATTGTGCTGTAAATATCTGGGTAAGATCAACTGAACACTGTGCTATATATTATATACTCGGTATTGATAATTATCACAGTATTGCCATAGTAATAAACAGAGGATATTTGTACACTTGAACTTTAACCCCATTCAGCACATAGACACAACTTTGCTAGTAAATATAAAAAAAAATTAATATCTCTAAGAACTCCATAGTTAGATTATTCTTTACATTTCCATTAACAAGGTCCCATCTGATGGATTTTAGCACAGTATGTTCTTTCCTAGATATTACAGGCCTCAACTAATCTTGACTTGGAAAGCCTTTTTTGCCACTGATTGGGTGTTTCTATATACTCTACCCATACGGAATGTCCACATGCCTCCCACACAAATGTCACATGGGTGTCTAATGACGGGGCACCTATGCTCCATATTCCCAAATGACTGCATCAGCAAAATGCATCTTGTAAATCTCCATGACTGCTGCAACATCCTGGAGGCAGACAAAACACAAAAAGCAGCATAAAGACTTTATATAACCTGTGAGGTAAAACAAAGCGGTTTGGAATGCCGTAAGAATGTGGAATTTGTATACCCATGAATACATGAATACATTTACCCAATGTTTTTTTCAGTTTTAGGTAAAGTAAGGAAGGGTTAAAACTATCAGTTTATTTTTTGTTGTCTATATCCTGTTGGGGAGATTTCTCTTAATTTCCTGTCATGGAGAACAAGCAATTGTGGTGAACAAGTGAGGGGAAATCCCCTCTTTGAGAGTTGTTCCCTAAACAAGTGCTCCCATTGGAAGATTTCCCCTCTATTCCTTTTCAGAGGATGACTGTGAAATGTTGGATTTCCCCATTTTCGGTGACGTTAGCCAACAGGACAACTAGAGAAGCTAAATCTACCGATTGGGACACAGACAGCTATGAAACAGGTGTTTTAACCCTTCCTCAGTTTACTTAAAACTTAAATATAAGTACACTTTAACACTTGTCAAATGCCATAATGACCATTCTGCCAAGTTGGGCATGAAAACATTAGTGCCTCAGCAATGATACCCTACAGCACTGTAGCCTTGGATACCACTATCTCAAGGGAAGTCTTAGAAGATTACCAGGGCCGGTGCTAGGATTTGTGCCCACACAGGCAAAATTGCATTTTTGCGCTCCCCCCACCCCCCTTCCCGACCCCTGTAGCGCTGGGCCTGCTCCCTATCAGTATGTTTTTTTTTCTTCACTTACCTTCGGTGCGGGAG